TCGACGAACGCTGCACGGCGGAGTGCAGCTCACTCTTGCCACCCTGCGCCAGGAGTTCTGGGTGCCCCGCGGTCGAGCTCTAGTCAAAGGCTTTATCCACCGGTGCTTGACTTGTCTGCGATGGCGGGCGGCATCACCTCAGCCGATCATGGGGAATCTACCTTCACCTAGAGTGACGCCCGCTCGACCCTTTTTGAACACGGGGGTGGACTACGCCGGACCCGTATGGCTGCGTGCCTCGAAGGGCCGAGGTCACCGGGCGAGCAAGGCTTTCATCACTGTCTTCGTCTGCCTCAGTACCAGAGCGGTGCACCTGGACGTGGTGTCGGACTACACTGCGGAGGCCTTCCTCGCAGCTCTGCGTCGCTTTGTCGCTCGCCGTGGCCTTTGCCAGGCCCTCTACAGCGACTGCGGCACCAACTTCGTCGGTGCCGACGCTCAACTCAAGGCCTTGTTCGCCGCCTGCAGTCGGGAGGGACAGTGCGTCGCCGCTCGACTAGCCGAGCAGCGAATCCGATGGCACTTCGGACCGCCAGCCGCTCCCAACTTCGGTGGCCTCTGGGAGGCCGCCGTGAAGGCGATGAAGGGCCACCTACGTCGCGTGATCGGCGAGGCTACGCTCACTTATGAGGAGATGGCCACGCTTCTCTCCCAAGTAGAGGCGTGCCTCAACTCTCGCCCGCTCCAGGCCATCTCGGACGATCCTGAGGACCTCTCCGCGCTCACCCCCGGACACTTCCTGGTGGGATCGGCGCTCAACGCTGTTCCGGAGCCGTCTCTAGCTGAGGTGCCGATGGGCCGCTTATCCCGCTGGCAGATGCTGCAGAAGATGAGAGACCATTTTTGGGCGCGCTGGTCCTCAGAGTACCTACACTCCTTGACGCACCGCCCCAAATGGCTCAAAGCCAGCGAGGACATCCGAGTCGGACGTTTGTGCCTGCTGCGGAGTGAGACGACGCCACCGAATAGGTGGCCGCTTGCTCGAGTCGAGAAGTTGTTCCCGGGAGATGACGGGCACCTCCGTGTTGTAGGGCTGCGCACGGCGACGTCGAGTCTGAAGCGGCCAGTCAGCAAGCTGGTCCTCCTCCCCGACAGCAGCGGCTAAGTACTCTCCCGTCAGAGCCATGCGATTTCCCTTTGTACATAAAGTTACCGGCCTCTCCCTGCATGTATAATAATTCTCGCCATTATCTACTATAATTAGCTGTGCTTCTATTTAATTTGCGTTATGATCACTACGAGTCGTTTCCGTCAGCGACTTTAGTTGAGCGATCCCTTCGAGCGGGCCTTCCGTTGCGTTCATTTCGTTGGTTTCACCATACGAGGCGGGCGGAA